TGTTTTGACTCCAGAAAACGAAACCGAACATCTCTCTATCTTCGAAACAATTTGAGGAATCCTGAATAATAACCATGGCCTCCCGGCCCAATTTCGAACACCGCTCTCCCTCCCACGACGTCCTTCGCAGCGGGGCTCCGTCTCCACGCATTGAGCACTATGATGGTGAAATCCCTCCTGCGCTCTCTCCACTCGATGCCTTCGCTGCTCAAGGTCGACTCCTTGCTCGTCAACTGGAGGAATCGGCACGGAGGAACCGGCGCATGAGCAGGCTGCCTCCGTCCAGCGTGGCTCGTTCGCTCTCGCGACCTCGTCCCGGCTATTTTCGATCACCATCGTCGAGCGATTCTTCCACTGGCGCAAGAGGTCACGGTGGACGCAATGAACTGTCAAGACAACCTACGCAGAAGTTGAGCCCCGAGGTGGAGGAACCCAAATTTCGCCCGCAGTCTGAACATCCTCGTCTGAGTGCGGTGTCGCACCTGACCAGCGAAGTGGGAGATTACCTCGAGGAGGATGAAGACACGACTCCGAAAAAAGAGCCGAGCGTGAACGCCCTTGACCTGCCACGCGCCGAATCACCCGAGGATGCCATGTCCTCACACAGCGCACCCGAAGCTCCGCCGGAAGGCCCTCCTCGGTTCTATGCTGTCTCCCCCACTGGCCTTACTCCGGGTGGCCCGCCCCCTTCGCTGGGGGTCTCGATGGTGGCACCGTCTCGGACCTCTTCGACTGATTCTGTCTCTCGCTTGAACATTCCCCCACGAGGCCTAGCACCCCCGGGATCGCCACTGTCTAGGCCATCGAGTAGTGCTCGAGCAGTACAGCCCGAAAGCTCCGACGATGACTACAGCAGCTCGAATGCCGGGTCGACGTTCTCAAAGCCCCGAAAGATGTCCGCCAGCAGCGCCGTATCACTGCCATACTCTTCGATGTCCTCTTCCATGACACGCTCGCATCCGCGATCGCCGTCTATGAGCTCCGAGACTTCGAACGCGGGCAATTACCTTCAACGGCCCTATAACTTTTCGCGTCCGTTAAGTCGGTCTAGCACAAGTCTCTCTGCCCCAGGTCCGAGGGCTTCGCCGGAACCGCCTGTTGCTCACTCGCAAGGCGCGCTCAATCGTGGACACAAGCCTAGTCCCATTGTGGTACCATCGCCATCGGATCTGCCGATGAACCCCAATGAAGACCCATCTTCTGCTGTTTCTTGCTACACCTATGCCAAGTACTCGCTGCCCCGGGGACGTGCGGTTTCGAGGGATTCGGTGGTCTTCTCCGGCCTCCAAACCTCTCATTTCGAGTGGCAGGAGCCTTTGTTCGAGAGCCCAACTCGGCACAGCACAGCGGGACCTCCGCAACCCGCAAGGACCCCGTCGCCTACCCCCTCTCTGCAGGCTTCAATCCACTCGAAGACGCGCTCAATGTATGAGTCTCCCGCTTCCGCTCGTCACTTGACTCCGGAGCACCCTCTGCTTCAACAAAGCCCGCCCTCTCCAAAAGTCAGACCATCTCCAGCGATTCCTGCCGAGCCTGAGCCCGAGCCCGAGCCTTCTGTTGCGGAGCCTGCACCTACCGAGCTTGTACCTACCGCGCCTGCACCTACTGATCCTGAGCCTACCGAGGTCGCTCCCACCGAAAATACTCCTACGGAACAACGGGAAGCAGAGGCCCCGAAGATAGACCACACCGATGCCACTTCCTCTGCAGGTTCTGAATCGACCGTTCGTCCGCAAACCGCGCGCACAAACACGACAACATCGGCTGTGATTACTGCGGATGAGCATGTGACCAAGGGTATCGAATGCCATGAAAGAGGGTCTTTGAATGAATCGACATATCACCTGCGCATTGCAGCCAAGCAGAACCATCCAACCGGAATGTTACTTTACGCGTTGGCTTGTCGACATGGCTGGGGTATGCGACCGAATCAACGGGAGGGTGTGCAGTGGTTGCGCAAGGCGGTGGATTCTGTTGGTATCGAATTGATGGACGATTCGAACCCGACCATTCCCGCTCGCGCCAAGGAGCTACAGAAGGCTTATCGAGCGCAGTTTGCATTGAGTATCTACGAGCTTGGAGTAAGTCATCTAAACGGATGGGGTATCGAGCAGGACAAGTCCCTGGCCTTGCGTTGCTTCGAGATCGCGGGCCAATGGGGCGACGGCGATGCCCTAGCGGAGGCCGGCTTCTGCTACGCCGAAGGTATTGGATGCAAAAAGGACCTGAAGAAAGCGGCGAAATTCTACCGGCAGGCGGAAGCGAAGGGCATCAGTATGGTTGGGAACAGTTGGTAAGTTGCTCCACCGGTTCGGCTATGGTTGGGGTGGGTCTAACCCGGCTTTGATAGGATCTACAAGGACAAGTACATGGACGAGGAGTCCAGCTCGAACTCGCGTGGTCGGGGCCAGCCTGGCAGTACTCCCGAGAAGAAACAGCGCAGCAAATCCCGAACCCGCAGTCTTTTCCATCGCAAAAAGTCGGTTGCAACTGAAGCATAGACGGTTGTGCAGTACCCTCGTGGTCGACCTGAGGGCCTGTTTGCATCCGCCATCTCGTGCAGCAAAAAGAAAGGCGAAAGGCTTGTTCTGCAGTTGGTCTTGGCATGATTTTCCCTTGATATTCCTGTCCTTCCTCGACCATTCAGTGTCTCTGGTCAGTATCAACACGGACATTGTGCTACCGATTGAGGAAGACTTTTCTATTCTACTTCGTTTCATTCGTTTGGACCCATCCGTGGGTTGCCGCTCTTCCCTTTTCTTTGCTTTTCCCTTTTCCCCTCGCATTTCGCGCTATCTATTCGCACCTTTCCTTTTTCTCCTTGAGCAGGCCTTGCTAGCTGCTCCACCCTTTGGATCACCGGGTCAAGTGGCTTCTCGCTTGACGTCTCGTCCAAATTTGCGGGCAGCGATATTCGTTTCTTGGATACCCATCATTTTCGAATCACTGTGTGATATTTCTTTTCTTCTCTTTTGGAATACAACCCTATTTCTCCCCACCCTTCGTTCTGTGGTTCTTCCCTTCATAACCATTTTCATTTCTCCACTTGTTTTTTTTTCTTACTTCTTTTTCCCGTGGACGCTCGTCCATGTTCGATCGTTGGGATTCTCTTCCATTCCTTTCTTTGACTCCTGTAATGCCATTTTTTTTTCCATTTCTTCTTAGAGATAGCCGTGTGTTTGTGTCGACCGAGATCATACCTGATGATACTCACGAGGAATTGCTACATAATCGGATGTTCATCCATCATTGATGGATAGAGTTTTGGACATGCTTCTGGATACCTCAGCCTCCGAGAAGTTAGTAGTGATTGCTGTTCCAGCGTGATCAAATTGAGTCCTCCAGTGGCGACGAACCACCGGGGGGAGAGAAGCGACAAAGACAATAAATTACCCGTAATTTAGTGTCCAGCTAGGGAAGAATAGCTTTTTGCTCTTGGTGGGTGAGATTATTGGGGGGGAAAGGGTAAGCAAGCCCTGACTAGCACAACGGACTATTCAGTAGTTGGATCACCGGGTGGGCTTGGCTGGAGACCAACTAACCAACTAAGCGGGGAAACAGGCAAATACCTTCCCCCCTCCTTCCGGCCTCAGCTTGAACTCGAGAAAAGAAATTAGAGCAAGACGGAGTATGCAATAACAATATAGCACGAATGCACCAGAACTCCGGGCTGACCGCGACCGGCTCGGTTGATTGGTAGGCGATATTAAACCCCGGGAGTTCATTAGCTCAAGCCCAAGTCGAGCCATTGGCCGGTGCTCGAGCGCAGTCTACGGAGAATTGGCCCAAAGTAGAGAAAGAGTGGCGATGGGATGCAGACCTGATGACCCAAACAGGAAGAGAGCCAGCCTTAGCTCGACTTTCTGGCATCGCGCCGGCATTTGGTCCCACCCCAAAGCTGCCCTGATCGTCCGGGGGAAATTGGGGGGTTGCATTAGCCCTTCACACTTCAGCATGCTCCGGCTGTCCTCCTGCGCCCTCCTGCTCCTCCTTCTCCTCTTCCTTCTCGTGCTCCTCCTCCAATCACTCGCAGCGGGATGATGCGATGGCTCACCTCTTGCCTCGGTTCGCGTACATCTTCAATCAGGATTCGCAGGTGCAAATCATCAATCATGAACAATGCCTGATCTAACCTACCCACTGTACGGCTGAGAAAAAAGTATGTGTGTGTAGCTCCACGCGATCTCAAGCTGGCCATGGTCCTTGCGCGGGGCCGGACCTAATGGATCTTGTTCTCATTATCTGGATCGTCCTCCCGCATACTGGGTCCTGGCATGGCGTCCCTCTGGTGGCTAGCCCCTCAACCTACGCCGTTACACTTCCTATCTACTAGGGCCAGTAGCGGCATGTTTCGTCCGCGCCGTCTCAAGCCTGGTTGTACACTAGTATGACCCGCGGTGTGCAGACCTGATCGACTATCGAGGTTGCTGAAATTGGACATGTGATGGTCTCAGATTTTATTAGTGTTTTTTCTCTTTCTTCCCGGGGACATCTAGAAGATATATCTAGCTACCTAGCGTTCGAGCAGGGGGGGGTAAGACCCGATTGTTTCCTTTTTCCTTCGTCCTGGCTGATTGTGGGTTCTTCTCCTCTCCTCTCCTCCCTTGCCTCCCTTGATTCGGTCTCCTGGGTTCCGTGGTCATTCTTCAACCCTATCAATCGTCGGTCTTGCATATCACTTGCCCGTCACTTGACCTCGACCAGACTGGTGGGTATGTATCTTAGCTGCTGTCGCACCTTGGTGGCCGAATATATAGCACTCCCCTTGGTATCCTCCAGTTCGTTGCTGACCTCATTGCAGCTTGTCTACTTCAATCAAGTCTCTTAAGTCCTCGGATCCGTCTCTGCGTAGAGACAATCCTTGTGCTAGCCATCCCACATTCCTCGGTCCGGTCCTCACGGAAGGAGAAGCCCCCGCCATTGTCACACCGACATCATCGGTACATTGTGTCTGAGGAGAGGTTCAGTACGACCTGTAATAGCGGCGCATTATAACCAAGATGGCCGGTGACAGCAAGCCTGAAGTGTTCGAAAGTGCTAATGTGGCCGCGGCCACGGCCAAGCCCAGCTTTGGGGCTCGCGTGGCTAGGCACTTCAAGCGATGGTGGTGGGTGTACATCATCGCCTTGATCGTGATTGTTCTTGTAGTGGTGCTTCCTGTGTAAGTTTGCTCTCGCGGCAATAGATGCCTTCTCCCAATCCATATCCATTTCCTGGTCTCCGGCTTACATGACATGTTTCGGAAAACAGAGTCTATGTCGCATACCCCAAGGAAGCTCAACACATCGTCAATGACTCCAACCTGACTGTCACATCAATGATCATCAGTGACCCCTCACCTTCATCCTTCGACCTCCACCAACTACAGGTTATTGGATCCAACAGCTCTTTCCACCCGACCTTCTACTCCTTCTCGGCAGCCATCAGCCTGCTGGGTTCCGCCGTCTTCACTCACGTTCAGGTTCCCCAGTTCAACGGCCACAATGGCGTTGTCATCGATGTCAACCAGCGTGCGAACCTGACCAACGCAACGGCATTCGCCGAGTTCTGCAAGGCCGCCATCATGAACGAACAGTTCCCTCTCAACGTCTACGGCAAGCCCCAGCTAAAAGAGGGAAGTCTACCCAAGACCACTGTGACCTACAACAAGACCGCAATGGTGACAGGTGAGCTCACCTATTCCCCATATATTACAGTTAACTCTCACAGCCCACTGACTCATATATTCCGGTCTAGGCCTAAATAAGCTCTCCGGCTTTGACCTCGTGGACATGTCAATTGGAACCAACAACACAGACGGCACCAACGCCAAAGGAACCGTCTACATCCCCAACCCCTCCGACATCAGCATCGCCGTGGTATGCAATTCTCCCATCTTCCCTCCAATTCGCCATACCAGTATCCCAACTAACCCCACATCCTACAGGGCAACCTAACCCTCAACCTGGAGGTCAACAACACCGGCATCGGCCAGGCCTTCATCTACGACCTCACCATCAACCCAGGCAACAACACCGTCCCCATGACCGCCAACGTCAGCACCCTCACCGTCGCCAGCATGCTAGGCAACTACCCGGACTACATGATCCCCATCGACATTACCGGCAACTCAAGCATCTACGACAACCAGCCGCTCCTCTACATCGAAGAAGCGCTGGCGTCGCTCAAACTGCAGGTTCAATTGAACGTGACGCAGGCATTGGGCGGTTAATTTAGCCAGTCAGTCTTGCCTTCAAACTAAAAGTCTGTATTTTTGCTTTTACGGACTGATAGATCTTGTATCCTCTCTTGTTGGGGATATAAAATGAGACATGTGTGTTATGTGGAGGGTTGATGGTTTGTTCTCTGTTTATATATGGCCTATTTACTGCTTACGATGATGTTGTGATTCCCATGTTGCCTTGGATGGATGCATGAATGGATGGAGGGATGAGAGCTGGACTTGTGTCATCGTTGGTTTGGACTGAGGCTAGGTAGGTAATTGTCACTTAGTATAGTATAGTATATTTAGTATATGTAATAATCTATGATATAATCTCACACTCTAGTTTCGTAACTTTTCTTTCAGGATATGATGACTAGTAGAAATGATGGATGGAATTGTGAAATAAAGGATGCGATGGGTAGCCAGGTAGGTAAACAAATAATAGTCGCGGAAGCACAGACACTGCTTAGTTACTGCATATGGTGAAACCACCCTCCCTATGAAAAGGGAGGGGCTTATCAATGAATGTAACGATTGTCTCATCTTCCCCAGCTGGGATGCTTAAGCGAGATAATTTGTCTTGTTCCAAACACAAGCCATAAAAGTGTCGTTCTTCTTTTTATTGTTCTCTTTTTCACTTGCTTTCTTTCTTCCGATCAATCAATCAATCAATCAATCAATCAGGATAACAATGGCTAAACAAACAGAATCAGTCACCTGTGCCTCCTTTTGGATGCCCCCCCTGGTATAACTATTTGGCCTTTGTTTTTCTTTGTCTTGACACTCTCTTACTTTCCCTTGAACAAAAGAACTCCCGACCTAGACTATACTGACAATGAGATAGAAAGGAAAACTACATGTCATGCAATGTGTTATATCCTGTTTCAATCAGACTTCGCGGTCCCCGCGCGTCGCCTCCAATATGCCAATAGAATAGCCCACCCAGCTTCATTTTCGTGACGAATTTCGCCTTCTGCTGGACTGTTTGGGGCGTGTCGTATGTGACAAACCCGCCATCACCGCCTACGCAGTATGCTGCTCCCAGACTGCTGTCGTGATGCTCCTTGGCTCCCGGTCGCGGCAGCTGGCTATAGTCGAAGACGCCGTCTTCACCGCCACAGCCTACATACCGCTGACCAGCTCCACTGCTACCCAGGAACGAGCGGCCATACGCGGGGATCCCGAGAAGTAACTTCTTGGGATCGACGCCCTGGTTGAGTATGTAGGAGATGGAGTTTTGGCAAGAAATCGCTGCGGGATGCTTGCTGAAGAGCTGGGCTTGATGACCCGACTGGTTCTCCCAGGGGCCCGAGAAATCATACGCCATGATATTGATCAGGTCGAGATAGAGTTGCGCCTTGGAAAGATCGATGTTGCGGAGAGCCCATGGACCGGCCGGCAGACAAGAGGCCAGAACATAACGCGGGGCCGGGAGGACTTCGCGCAGTCGCGCCAGCAGACGGATATAGTCCGATCCTTCTTGTGGGTCGGAGGGGTATTCCCAGTCCACTGTTGGGCCAGCACACGGTTGGTTAGCCTTAGGGCATGCACACAATTTTACCTTATTTTCTGCAAAGTAGATACTGACATGACGCATCCATGATGATAAAGGGGGGAGGGGCTGGGATCCATCGCACGTACCGTCGATACCATCCAGACCAAACTGGTCCACCAGCGCCCTCGCGCTCCGAGCAAACGTCTCGGTGCGAGATTGACTGCGGGCCACTTGGGCGAAGTTCTCGCTGCCCTTGCCGCCTCCTCCGACTGAAAGAATGAGCTTCATTTTAGAATACTGCGGCTTCAGTTGCGCAAAGGCCCGCAGGCAGCCGTTAGTGCCGTCGACGGGCATTTGTGCATCGGCCCATTCGTCACTGAGCTGTTATTCAAAGCATGTTTTGTCAGCGAGATCAGCCCCTCACAATAAGGGGAGAGGACTGGTTACATAAACGGTACCATCTTCTTTAACCCTGTGAACGAAGAAAGCAGGCTGGTTAACAACTGTCTCTGTGTATGGACTGGGACCATCAGCATGGTGCCGACTTGAGGTTACTAGTACCATGCAAACGCGTAGAAGATATGAGAAATGAAGCCCAATCGAAGGGCCGACGGAGGCTGTTTCCGGTATATCCTCCAATTGGGATAATAGGCAGCGTTCAAGAAGAAGGGCACCTCGTAGGAACTATTACTGGAGCGTTCGGCTGCTTTGCGCCGCCAGTGCGGAAAGAGGGAGGAGCCGGAGAACATGGCCAGCAGTGGTGGACGAGGGGGAGGGGAACAAGGGTGCAGTAGAACTAGAGGGGGCAAAGATTGACTCTCCGAGAACCAGGATGTGAGGTCAAAATACAGAAAAATAAGCTTAAGATCGTGATGCGAGGATTAAAGATGGAACAAGCCCCAGAATGGCCAGCGTCACGTGTGGAAGGGCTTGTTGGTTTTGGTGATGCGAATTGGGGACTTTTTGATTTGCTCCCCCCACGCAAGTATGGAGAAGGTAAGGGATCGTACGATTAGTGTGGCAGTGGGTGTTTTCTTTTTTTCTTTTTGTTCTGCTGAGGTCTTGAGCAATTTAAACCCTCTGATCTGCAGCAGGAGCAGCAGGAGCAACGGGAGAGAGACACTGCAACGGAGCTGTTGATGGATGAACTGGCAGGAAGGAAAGAAGGCAACCAGGATGAACCAGCAGCATCAGCATCAGCGACAGCAACAGCAACAACAATGACAACAACGAAAGCTGCTTCTGTCGTTCCTCCGGCCAAACCACGTACAACCACTTGAGTCGACCCGACGCAGTGGCTACATCAGTATCATCCCACTCTTTCCATGATCCAGGTACTTGGCTTTTTCTACAACTACTCTTCCCTGTACCCTACCTCGTACTACTCGCGTACGTATTCTCGTTTCTAGGGTTGCAATGCGGCCGATTTGCAGGCAACATCCTATGCAGCTTTGTCATGCAGGCTGCTAAGGTTAGGGGCCTATTTCGGTCGGTTCCCCCTCCTCCATCAGCAGTGACCTGGGCTAGTCAATCAGATCAACGTCCGACGATGGGAGCATCTGATTATGACCAGCCACAGTCCCAGACACGGTCCAAACGTTGTCACCCCGCCTTTTGCTGTCCCAGGTTCCCAGGTCGGAGGAGCAGATCAAGCGATCGTGTTGATCATTGGCCGCCCCGGAACGTTCTCCCTCTTCATCTGGTGTACCAGCCAGAGGACGCGGCTGGCTAAGGTTTGTTTTTAAGGCCCGGGTCTTACCCTCTCGATACTCTCCGGTGAGACTCTGATGCTTTGAGACCTCGCAAAAGTCCAATGACAGTGGCGTCTGTCACTAAGCCTTCTTTATCCAAAACCCGAGTAGCTCGCGATGAGATTATAGACTCGTCGCACGGGACTATTGATTCTGACTGAGGAGAGGTCAATTCAGCGATCGACTGCTGATGCAATATATCCAGAGCAATTGCCGGGATGTATCAGCATTGCAGTGATTGGCCACAATGGGGGAGATGCTCAGTAATCCTTATGAAGTATTCGCTCGGTTGTTCCGGATCGGACTGGGGGATCGACTGCGTTGGAAAATGCAGTCTTTGCCCACTATTTTCTTATGGCTGCAGTTAAGAGTTCCCACCGTCGTTGCTTTTTTTCTTATTATTTTTTTTTCCCCTTCCCTTTTGCACCCTCGTTTGAGGGAAATGTTGGTTGTGGGGGAGATGCAGCCGCGGACGACTAACCTGTAGGACTAGTGACGCCCCATCCCCGCATGAAGGACCGCGACTCAATTACCTTGATGCTGAGTGGGAGACCTTTTCACCCATACTGAATCTGCATTTGATCCCCGAGCGAATAGGCACCGAGAACGAGGAGGGGTGAGACAATCCTCGGGTTCTTAGCGTCAAGTACACTTTTTCTCCGGCGCGTTATTCGCCAGCGACAGGAGCCGCTCCGGAGCGCCGACAACCGCGGCGGTATTGTTGCTGAAGCTATTCACTACAAGAAAAAGAAGAAGATGTGAAAAAAAGGGAGGAGGAAGCATGGGAGCATTGAGGTTGTGCTGCTCACTGGAAGTAGGTTACTTCCCGGGCTATTCCCCAGTTCCAAGTTACACCGTACAACATGCATCCTTCTCACAGTCGAGCAGGGAGTCGGGCGTCAGACCCATCGAGCAACGGACCATGTGATCTCGTAAGTCGTAGGAATGCTCGTATGCAGGGGCAGCCAGGCTTGCCTGCGCCTGGGAAACGTACCCATTGGCCTGCTGCAACTGGGCCCGGCGCTCCCCCAGGCTGCCGTCAACCATCAAGGAAAGACGGGGTGCGTCTCGCTGCAGCATGGATGGCTGACTGTGCCCAAACAAGGGCGGGGAATAAGCATCGACGAGGGATCCCGTTTAGACAAACCCATCTCACTGTAGAAGTAACTAGTAGATGCTTCTCGGATTACGCTCTTCAGCTCTTCAGCTCTTCATGCGTTCTACCAACCAATATTTACATGGTTCGATGGACTTCCACAATGAGATTGCTGAATAAGCATGCTGTATTTGCCACCGCCTTCCTCTTTCAACATACTGCCCTTTCAAGGCTCGGAGTCGCTCGTCAGGACTCCTCCGATGCAGACTGATCATTCATCATTCTTCAAGTCTGCTCTCTTCCATATGCTAAGTGTCCGAGGGCGCCAAACACTTTGCAAGGCAATAGGGCACTAATTGGGTCTATATCCTAGCCCACCTCAGTCATCTGATTGACTGCAAACAAAGCAAGGACCTCCGCTCAAACGTGTCGACGAGCGAAAAGCTCCTGCTCTACCTCTCTATCCTTCCTAGTACCCTCTTGTCGTTCAACACAAAACCAATCAACATGACGGCAGACGTGAGCCATGCAGCATCACGCGTGCTCACCTCCAACAGCCCCCGCGACCCGAGCTTTGATGAATTCTCCTTCGTCCCCTTCCTCCGCCAGAGCTACGGCTTCGGCCTCGCCAGTGATGTACCCGTCTGCAAAGCCTACAGCGAAG